CATTTGCGTCACTTGAGTATGTGTCATTTTTGCATGTTGAACCTGAGATCCTTGATTATTGCTTGTGGTAAATACTCCTTCTAAGGAGGTCTTAACATCAAGAAACATATATAGATCCTGTAAAGTTATAATAGAGGGTAGAGTCTTGCTTGTCGACTTGATTTTGCTAAATATAGTGGAATTTGATGTCGTACTTAGTATAGGTTGGTTGTCAACCCGTTGCACCATGGTTGATTGTTATGAGAAGGTGATTACCTTTCCTACTCCTAACTAGTCGATGATTCGGTTTGAAGGAGAAAAAGTTGGATCATTTCCATCACTTGTTTCTTACATGCAAGATGGTAAAATGTTGATGCATGAATGTTATGGATATTTGGCATATGTTTTTGAGTGTAAAGACAAGCCAATGTCTGTGGAAGGAGTTCAGGTAGTGGAAGACTTCCTTGATGTTTTCCCCAAGGAGTTGCCTGGGTTACCTCCAAATAGGGAGATTGAATTCACTATAGGTCTTGTGCCTTGTACTGCACCAATATCCTAGCAATCTTATAGAATGGCTATCGTAGAGTTAATTGAGTTAAAGAAGGAGTTACAATTGCTTTTTGATAAAGTGTTTAGTAGACTTAGTACTTCCCCTTGGGGTGCTTCGGCTTTTTTTTGTGAAGAAGAAAGATGGCTCACTTAGATTATGCATTAACTATAGATGGTGGAATCAAGTCACTGTAAAAAACAAATATCCTTTGCCAAGAATTGATGATTTGTTTGATCAGTTACAAGGGGTTTGTGTCTTTTCCAAAATTGATCTTAGATTGGGTTACTACAAGCTAAAGATTAAACCCGAGGATGTGATGAAAAGTACTTTTAGAAGTAGCTATGGACACTATGAGTTCTTGGTGATGCCATTGGGTTTACTCAATGCCCCTGTGACTTTTATAGATCTTATAAATAGGATCTTTCAACTGTACCTAGATAAGTTTGTCATTGTTTTTATTGATGACATTCTTATTTTCTCTCTTGATGAAGAGAGCATAAGGAGCATCTTGCCATTGTATTCCAAATTTTGACAGAAAAGAAGTTATATGCCAAGTTTGATAAGTGTGAGTTTTGGCTAAATCAAATTAGTTTTCTAGGTCATACTGTTTCTAAACATGGCATATTAGTTGATCCTAGTAAAGTGGAAGTAGTTGTGAAGGGGGAAAGGTCGACTAGTTTCACAGAAGTGTGGAGTTTTCTTAGGCTAGCAAGATATTATAGAAGATTTGTGGAGGGATATGCAAAGATTTTTGGTCCATTAACACAACTTACTTGTAAGAATCAGAAGTTTGAATGGACCGATAAATGTGAGCAAAGCTTTCAAGAGTTGACAAACAGATTGGTCATAACACTAATTCTTGTTATTTCTGACAATGGAGGAAACTTTGTGGTATATATTAATGCTTCTCACAAAGGCTTGGGTTCTGTTCTTATGCAACATGGATGAGTGATAGCTTATGGGTCTAAACAACTCAAGACACATGAGAGGAACTACCCTACACATAATTTTTGCACTTAAATTGTGGAGGCACTATTTATATGCAGAAGAGTTTGAGGTGCATACTAATCACCAGAGTTTGAGGTGCATACTAATCACCAAAGCTTGAAATATTTATTTTCACAAAAAGAGCTCAACTTAAGGCAAAGAAGATGGGTAGGGTATTTGAATGACTTTAGATGCAAAATTGTCTATCAACAGAGAAAGGGAAATGTGGTTGTAGATGCACTTGGTAGAAAATCAATTGGCACCTTAGCAAGCTTAATGGTGATGGAGTGAAAACTCTTAAAAGAATTCAAGGATTTGAATGTTAGATTTTTGTCACCCAAGTCTGATCTACTAGTGTCTAGCTTGATGGTTCAACCTACAGTGTTATCAAAGATTAAGGAAGCACAACAGAAAGATTCAAGATTGATGGAGTTGATGAAAGACGATGAGAAGAGCTTTAAAATGGGTCTTCATATTTCAAATGACGGAATTATAAGACTTGGAGATAGAATTTGTGTTCCATATGATGAAAAGTTAAGGGTAAAATTGCTCCAAGAAGCCCATAAGTTTAACCACACCATCCACTCTGGGAGTACCAAGATGTATCATGATTTGAAAGAAACATTCTAGTGGAAAAGCATGAAGAAGGATATGGCTTAATATGTGTCCAAGTGCTTGACTTGCTAATTGGTAAAAGTAGAGCACTAAAAGTCAGGAGGGCAACTTCAACCTTTTCCTTTACTAGAATGGAAGTGGGAAGCCATTTCAATAGACTTCATTATGGGATTGCCAAGGATAAGAAGTTAGTTTGATGATATATGGGTGATTGTGGACAAATTGACAAAGTCAGCCCACTTTTTGGCCATAAAACAAAAAGACCCATTGGACAAGTTGGCCAAGCTTTATGTTCAAGAGGTTGTTAGACTCCATGGAATGCTAGTGAGCATTGTATCAAATAGAGATCCAAGGTTTACTGTAAGATTTTGGAGATCTTTTCAAAAAGCCATGGGAACTCAATTGAAATTAAGCATAGCATATCACCCATAAACTAATGGGCAATCTAAAAGGACTATTCAAGTGCTTGAAGACATGTTTGTTGACTCAATGTACTCTAAGAGGGGGGTGAATTGGAGTTCCAAAAATTCTCCCATTTTTTTCAACCATAGAACCAAAGTTAAAGAGAGTAGAGAAGAAGAGCTTGCACAATGAATTTATGCTTCACTCACCAAGGATTTCCTCCACACTCTTCACTAAGAAAGACAAGGGTGGTTTAAAGGAGCCACTCAATCCTTTTACAAGAAGATGAGTATTTCTCTCAAACCTCATCCCTTTACAATGTAAACCCCACAAATCCTCTCAATAGATCACTCTTGAAGGAATAATCACACCCCAAGAACATACACTAATAGAACGAGAAGAGGATTACAAGCAATGATCACTCAAAGATCAAAAACTCAAGTTAAAAGCTCAAGTAGGTAGGTAAAGATATTCAATGCAATGTTCTCCGAACTTTTTCAGATCTGTTACCAACCATATTTATAGCCCCTTGCTCGAAAATAGCCGTTTCTAGCAGTTGGGGGTCATTAAATGCTCTGCAAGATGCAAAACTCGAGTTGCAGGATTGTCAGGAGAGCTGGCTTAGATTCCTAGAGCCTGCTCTACACAGCCGGCTTAGATTCTTAGAGCCGGCTCACCATTTCTGCAGCCGGCTTTGTGGGATTTTGCACATTCTGTTTTTCTTCGTAAAGCCGACTCCAAAATGCAAAGCCGGTTTTGTGGGTTTGCTGCACATTTTGTTTTCTTCCACAGCCGGCTGCAAAAAACCTAGAGCTGGCTTTGGTATTCCGACTTTAAAAATATTAATTATTCTTGAAATAAGTCGGCCGTTGTGCATTAAATGCGCCTTTACAGCTGGCTGCAAAGTTAGAGCTGGCTGATGGGAATCAAAACGACAGCATATCTACTACGTCATGTGATCTATTACACACCCCATGAGGTCCAGTCATGCGAGCTAGAGCTAAGAAGATGCATGAAGCTTTAAATGGCCTTATTGAGCATATCTGGGTTGAAAACAACATACAACAAGCAAATCGAAGCTTGGATGATTATCAAGGCATGGTAAACATCATTGAGGTTCAAGAGAAGCTTAGTTGAGGTAATTTGCATGGAATTACACAGTTTACGTCAAAATCGCACAATTCTGTCGCAATTTGTAGTAAACTGATATTTCGTGTTATTTTACGTTATTTTTAGTGATTTTCACGTTTTTTGTATTATTTTTGGGCTGAACATTCACTTATTTGCAACTCAATTCGTGGTTATTAGGTTTAGGACTTAGGGTGTTAATTTCCTATTCTGATTAGGATTTGTTTTTTCTATTTAAAAGGCTTGTAACCCTAATGGGGGGGGGGCTATTGAATCTGAGATTTTGAGAGACTTTTCTCTTTGGTTCGTTTCAGAACTTTACAGAACTTATCAAGATTATTCTTGTGGCGTTCTAACCTGACTTATCATTCTCGTTCTTAATCGTTCGAGGGTGTGGCATCAACCAACTTTATACCTCTAGTTCTTGTTGCTTCATAGACAACGAGTCAAGGTTTTTACCTTTGGTTCTTGTTGCGACATAAACAACGGGTCAAGGTGCTACTAGAAACCTGATTTAGCTTTCTTGGAGTTTAGAAATCCCTTGTCATGATGTGGGTCTCATTGTTCTCTTTGGGCTTCTCATCATCTTGGTATTAGAGCATCAGATCCCTAAATCAGGTTTGCGTATCTTTAGTTTTCAGTTTTTACATCAAAAAAAAAATTAAGGTTATTTTCTTTCTTGTTTGCAACTCTTTTCATCTTGTTCTATTGAATCTGTGTTGCTGGTTCTAAAAAAAAAAAAATTAGAGAGAGAAAATCAAAAAAAAAAAAGAGGAGAGAAGTAGTAGAAAAAAAAAAACAAAAGGAAAATTCGCCAAAAAAAAGAAGAAAAAAAATGAAAAAAAAAAAGGAGAGAGAAACAAGCAACACAATTCTGTGGTTGGAATTCCTTATATAGAAAAGAAATCTATGGCAAAATCCTTAAAGAAGAAGGAATCCTACTCCAATAAGGAGTTGGAAATTCTCTTTGAGTTCTATTCAAACAAGGAGATAGAAATTTTGTTTATTTCTTCCTAAGTTAGGAATCCTACTCCATTAAGGAATAGTGAAGTCAATTTCTACTAGGAAGTGCTTGAACTAATATGTTTGTTTTAATTTGTTTGGGTTCGGTTCTTTTATTGCTTTTCTTGTTCATTCCTTTGTGTCTTTTTGTTTCCTTTAACTCTTGCAGATTTGTTAGAGTTACATTGCTACAAAATAACTTGAATTGAACTTTGTTTAGTTCAATAATGAATTGGAAGGGGAAAGTTGAGTGAGGGAAAAAGGCAAGAGGTGTGAGCAACATTTGAGAGAAAAGCCAAGTTCTACAGTGTGCGAAACACATGTTAAGTGCCATTCTGTGAGAGAGTGGAGTGAAACACGTAAGGGAGTGTTGTGAGGTCCTTTTATTTTCTGTTTCTAACATTCCCTGCAGGTTTTAATCATGTCAAGCAGTGATGATATAAAACACCAAGTGGATGATTCTTTCATGCTCAAAGCTATGCAACAACAATTTCAGAGGCTAGACATCATGTTTGGTGAAATTAAAGACAAAATGGAGAAGCAAGATGCAGCCATTGCCAAGTTATACCAAATACAGAATGGAAGTCCAAATTTGCATAATCACGATCTTGATGACAATGATGAAGATGCATTCAACGATGATGCCCAGAACTCAAATTTCAGCATGGATAGATTTATGAGAGGTAGAGGGGGTCAAAGATATAGATTTAACAAAGGAGACCAAAATCTGGCAAGGTGGGGAGATCAGCAAGATCATGACTTAGGCAGCATCAAGATGAGGATTCCTCCATTCCAAGGCAAAAATGATCCAGATGTGTATTTGGAGTGGGAAAAGAAGGTGGAATATGCCGTTGATGGAGAACTGCTTGCCACTAGGCGAGCTTTGAATGTGCAAGCCAAAGAAGATGATGAAGGACAACGTGACAAGATATTTTACACAAGGTGCCATGTTAAAAACAAGGTATGTAGTGTGGTTATTGATGGTGGTGTTGTACTAATGCAGCTAGCACTGTTTTAGTTGAAAAGCTTAATTTACCTATGATGAAGCATCCAAGGCCATATAAACTGCAATGGTTAAACGATTGTGGAGAAATCAAGGTAAATAAGCAAGTTTTGGTTTCATTCTCTATTGGACGATATAAGGATGAGGTATTGTGCGACGTGGTTCCCATGCATGCTGGACATTTACTTTTGGGGAGACCATGGCAATATGATAGGAGAGTAACACATGATGGCTTCAAAAATCGCTATTCATTTGTCATGGAGGGAAAAACAATTACTCTTGCACCATTGAGTCCAAGGCAGGTTTATGAGGATCAACTGAGAGTAAAAAAAGA